GCTATGTACGGTTTCTACGCTACTCTTATGGTAAGAAAATTTAATAAGAGTTTGGATGTATAAAAAATTAGAATATTTTCAATATAAGAGGCACTCAGATTTATGATGTACAGTAGGGGGATACTTAAGTGTGGTTTTGAAACCTGGTGGCCGACTTCCAGCATTCACTGTGTCAATGCGGAATGCGGTTAGCTTCAGCTCTTCGCTGCTTCAATGCGGATAATGACGGAGATCCGGACACGTATTTGCCTTGAAGTTAAACTGAGTGCTTAAAAGCGTTATTGCGATTATCCACAGAGCGTAGAAAAGAACTTAAAAAAGAAAAGCTGAAAATAAACAAAACTATGATAGGCTTCGTAAGTAACTTGCAATATAATCAAACCTATACTCGAGATCATTAATCAACCTGTATTAGGCATGAGTCACCTTCCTTCAAGAGGTCACTAACTTAAGTCCCGGAAATTAGTCAAAACTTGCTAATACAGGTTCGTATTACCGTTGTTTTAGACAATGATGAAAACGAAAGGAGGAGAGAGCGCTGCGTACGCAGGAAACGAAAATATTAGTCCCCCTTTTACAGGGGCACCCAACGAGGATTTAGTTCAAAACCAGTTAACATAGCATTGTTGAACGTATTGTAGTCTTTAAACGGTAGATATAGGCATATTTTTATCCCCTAAAAACTTTTCATCTGTTCGGATTTCCTAGCTGAAAGTCTAGTGATCCGAAAATCATAAGCATCAAAACTTACCTTTTTTAAAATTTCAGCCAGGAAAAGGCTCCCGAAAATTCTAGGTCGCCTTTTTTAGGGTAAAAATCCGTTAAAAATAGGTAATCATATCATTTTGTAGATGTTCGAAAATCCTAGGAGAGGCAGGCAAGCAAGTAATTTTACAACAAATGTTCCGAAAATTCTAGATCTCAAATCGTCTTCCGAACAGATATTTTCCGAAAATTGCCGTTGGGTGCCCCTGCTTTTACAATGAAAGTATTCGAGAATTCCAAAGCGGTTTAATATGTTAAAACGAAGATTGGTTAGTGTGAGATGCGGAGTTTCTACGGTCAAGCTTTTGATATGACCTAAGAGCAAGAGTGAGTGTATTTGGAAAGTTGACGGTTTTGAAAGAAAATTTAAACTATAGCTCGAGCTTTCGTTTCATTGCATGGATTGAAAATTCAGTCAACGGAGGGGGAAATGCCCGAAAATGAATTACACCTGGAATTGCATCTACGTTCACAAAACGGTACTGTGGTAGACTGGTAGCAACCTCTTAAGCTCTCTCACTACCGAAACGGGTAGACCGAGAATTCAGCAGCCTACGTAACGGAAACGACAGCTACGCAGGTTACGAATTCAGAGATACACAAATTATGTGTGATACAACCAGTTCCTTTTAGCTTTAATTCTTCACTCCCTTGAAAGTATATTCTTCACATTTTCATGTTTTAGAATTCTGTACTCTGTTCTGACACTTAAAGAATTTATCGACATCAATATAATTCGCGTAAAAATTTCGATGACGTTCTACACAGTCGATCAGCTCCACGACTCCAAACGACTACACTGTTCTAGACTTTCGTGCAAAGTTCAGTTTTCAGATCACGTGATGAGTTTTTCCCGCCACAATTACGCAATAATGTCCTTACCCGCGAAGCTTGCGAACAAGCTCTCCTTCCTTTTCACGCCCCGCCGCCAGAGCCCCCCGGAGAGCTTGCTCGCAGGCTAAGGTACGCGCGACAGTTGATTTTGGCGCCAGACGTTAACGACTCGGGCCACGTGGCTTTGTTTGTCAAGCCAAAAAGAAAAACTGACGTGGTCACATTCCTGAGCGTTTGGTAGGCCAAAGATATGCCAAGACGAATAATGGTGTTCTCTGTCAACTAAAAAGGAAAAATTTTCATTCGCGGAAAGTCAATCGATGAAAGTTACTTCGGTTATAGCATTCTAGCGCCATAAAAACTCTGACCACTCTGATGCACCGAACAACGATGCCAGCATGAGAAAAAAATGTAACCACGTGAGTTTACTTTTTTTGGTTTGACCGAAGTCGTTAACGTCTGGTGCCCAAATTAACTGCCTCACGTATCTTTGAATTCGCGGTCTACCTGTTTTAGTGTATTTCGATTGGTGGGGGCCGTGCAGCCCAACCTCGTCCCCAGGGCGCTTTAATCCAGGGACAGGCGCCCTGGGGACGAGGTTGCGTGCGGCCTCCAACCTCGTCCCCAAGGCGCTTTTCCCTAGCCTTAGAGGTGGTGTCACGCGGCCCCATCTCCGAAGCCAGGGAAAAGCGCCCAGGGGACGAGGTGGCGTGCGGCCTCCAGTGAGTACGCGATAGCATATGGTGTGTGGTTGTTATTGTCACGCACTGGCATGGTACGGTATGGTGGTCTGTAGGGAACTTTAGACGGGAGAAAATCCTCACGAAATTTAATACCCATAAAGAAAATACAAATCACAATTAACATGTAATAATAGCAACAACGCAACAACATATTCATTAAAATTCTAACATGACTCCGAGGCTTTAGGGTCCAAATTGCAAATTTTTCACCACTCTATTGTCTCGCAATTCCCAGAAGAGAATTGAGCACAAAGGAAACCTAACCAAATATAGAAAAATGACCCTAAAGCCTCGGAGTCATGTTAGAATTTTAATATGTCGAACGTGGGCTATTGATCAGTAATGTACCGGATGAGAAAAACGCGCGGCGCCTAGGGAGAGAAAATGCTTCTTTTTCCCGCCGCCTCCAGGTTTCTCAGATAACTCGCGCCCTGTTTTCCCACGACCTTGTTTGTACAACGTCCCTACTACAATGATGTGAAGTATAAATGAAATAATTCATTTTTAAACTGCGGTTGTAGATGAAAGTGAAGACTGATGATCATCGCAGTAAATTTTCCAATTTAAGCTTTCGTCCCTACTACAGTAATAACAAATTGCTTGGCTTTCTTATCCCAGTAGGACATCCATTCATCATTCACGGCTTATGTACAACCGTCAATGGATTTACAATTTATGTTTCCTCTTAAAATTACACCTGTTGTTGTTCTTGCGGAGGACATTCAATAAAGTTTTATTTTTAGGATATCACCAGGTGGTCAAAATAGATTGAAAGTCCGTCCTTTCATTTCACCAAGGTCAAGTCCAAGACTTAAGCAGTTCTTATTTACATTTTATCTATTGAGAATTGAAACAGGCTGCAGTTTCAAGACATAACCATACATATGATAATAGCCTAATCTGTAAATTCTGCCAAGGAATTGCTTAAAATGTTCCAATGATGAGTCAGAATTGTCCCGTTTTGTAAACACCATGAACTTTTAAGGATCGATTCCCGTGCCTCAGGTCGTAATACGCTTTACGGTCAGTTGTTTTAAAACTTTTGCTGCTGTTAGATGGTAACAGACGCGCAGCTCGAAACCCAACAGCGCGTAGGTGTGTGGAAGCTCGTCCTGTTTCTAGAAGTTTTGTCATCCGAGGTTATAAAAAATACAAAAGCAACATTGACAAAAAAGAAAAATGCAATTTAAGAACTTTTAACAGATTGTTGTATTAAAACGCTGTGGGTATATGGCCGGTAACAGGTCAAGGTTTTCAAAACACTAAATGACCGGCAGTTCTATATTCTCAATAAATTTGACAAATCGAAAAAATCCATCTAATCTAAACTATCATACGTCGATTAAGGAACGTCAAGCGATCCTGAAACACTTTATAGATCTCAAGTTTAGCGTTTGGTTTACGCTGATGTGCTCAGAAAACGAAACCATGTTTAGTGACACTAAAAACGTTTTTCAGCTTCCTCTTTCCTCTTTCCTCTATCCCCTTTCCCGACTTATCTAGGAGAGATCGAAGACTGCCGGTCATTTAGTGTTTTGATAACCTTGACCGGCAGTCGACCTGAAAAAAGTTCTAAGATCAGTAATTCACGTGAACAGTAACTGAAAAGACTTGTGTGACTTCTTTAAGTCACGTGAAAATGAACTTTTAATAGCTTTTACAAAAAAAAATTAGTTTAACTTTTGGTACAGGAACCAGTCTTTCATGTTTGAGGGAGTGTCGAGCTAGAGATTGGTTGGAGTCTCGAAGGATGAATTGAGACTAGACAATCGTGGTTCACGGAAAACTTTCGTCGATCTCTGTCTTGAAGGCGGTTGTGATGAGCCTCGAAGTTTCGTTTTGTGTTCTGTTGTCGTAGTTTTTTCGTCTCGCACAATTTTTCGCAGTCAGGGACGCTGTAGACTAGCCTACGTAGCTAGCGGGTTTCTTTGTTTGGGTTAAGGGATACAGCCACGCAAAAGATTTTAAATAACTGAGGTAAAACCAGAAAAACGATGGGGAAGGAGCGAGGGAAATTCTTTTTCTCATCCCCTCTCCCACCCTGTTTTCGTTTAACCTCTTACTTTACGAAACACGAACGAGTCACGCGCATGGTGTGAGCGAAATCGTATGTGTGAGCCGGGCGGCGGGCAGGCGCGCTATGTTCAAAGAAAACTAAGGGTGGATTCTAGTATCGCGTAATTTTTATTTGCGAACGCGCGAAAAAAGTGCGTGTGTAAATAATATAGAGGCTTCAGGGCGGATTTCCACCGTCGTGTAATTTTCTCTTTCGTAAGCACGTGAAAATTACCCGACAGTGGAAATCAACCCTTAGAGAAATTTTGAGTCACATTTAATCCACAAAGGCAAACGTGAATTTGTACCATGTGACCAAGTTTCCCCATAACGTGTGATTTACAGTTCAGGCGCGGGTTGTTCAAACGTTGGATAGCGCTATCCACCGGATAAATCACCATCCAGCGGATAGCGTAATTGATTTGCGTAATACTTATCCGCTGGATAGTGATTTATCCGGTGGATAGCGCTGTCCAACGTTTGAACAACCGGGGCCAGTACTTCTACCTCACAATTAGTACCTTCACATTAGGTTTGTAAATAACAATTGTTTTGGACTGTTCTTATCACAGTTATTAGAGGAGGCAGGTTACGAAAGGCGGCAAACATCAAACTCCCTGACGGTGCACAATCCTTTATTTTCTGTTTGCATATTGCGACCGAATTAATTAATGGGACATTTGTTTGGCTAATTAGATCAAAATGATGGGAATACTATTGAACGTTGTGCACCGTCAGGTTTACAAAAACATAGAACAAAGGAGTTTAAAAGGTTTCATAACCATTCCACTCTATCAACTATGTTCTATAGCTGCACGTTTTCTCTTTTGAGAAATTGATTCTCAACTTGAATCTGACGTTTGCCGTTTGCTGTAAACGTGACTCTAAGGGCGCTTTCCATTTGTCAGAACTGACCGGACAGACCAATCCAGTCACGATGAGAATTTCACTTTTAATCAAAACTATCCAGCCAGATCAGTGAAATCCTAAGTAGCATGCACGATAGCGATGGTGTTTCAACAAAAACTCTTGGAAAAAACATTTGTCATTGTCGAAATCACTGGTCCGGCTATGGTCCTGCCGGTCAGTTCTGACTTTTGAAAAGCGCCCTATGTCTGTCTATTATATGAAAGGTCACGTGTAAACATCAAATTTGAGGGAGGTTCAACTTGTACGTTTTACTTTTACGCGGAACCTTTCATACAACGCCGCTATTTTTGTACGCTGATAAGCAAGTAGAAATTAAGCGACAGAGGAAATCCACCCTAAGAGACAACTCACGAGGATTATACCACTTCTTTCACCACCGCCAGCTACTTTTGGAGCTTTTGTAAAAATAAGACTGGCTCTTTTTTTTCCTCGGTAGAAAATACATTTGAATAAGGGGAGGACAGCCAGCTTTTGCGCAAAGTTATTTTAATTACGCACGAATTCTCACTTCAAAAGATAATAAGCTCGATCCCGGTTTATATGCTTCAAAAAACAAACAGAAGAAAAAGAAAACAGCTGAAAACGAAACAGCGGCTATGGCCATAGTTCCTCTGGCACAGTATATGTTTCAGTACTAAAACTATCTGTTGTGTGGATTTCTGGTTCGGCTGTTGGTACAGCGGTCTGTTCCAGGGTACTGAACTCAGGCTCTGGGGTATGTTCGGGCGTGGTCACTGCAGCCCCTTTAGTGTAAGGTTGAGCTAAAGACAAGAATTGAAAAATGAACACGGTATAGATGTTTTTTTCTGTTCCTTGTTGGTTTAGCCCCTTTGCCATCTAGTACTCTATTTCCTTACCCTAACTATTAAAACACAATTATTGAATGAGGTTTTTGTGATATTATCTGCTAGCAGATAACGAACTCTGTACCCTGTAAGTTGCGCTAATTTTCAAAAATAACTGTTGGTTCTTAGCCAATGAGAAGACGGTACGTAAGTACAATGTATAATAACAATTTTTGTTGAACTGAGTGGAGTGCAATTTTTTGGTTTAAACAGATTATATGCATGATTTCAAAATCGAAAGAGCGCGCCACAGGAGAAGGATTTGAAGTCACAAATATGATTTCGGACCAAAACTGCAGCACATGAAGTTCAATCAACATTTTTTATGCAAACAGAACTGACGTCGCTTATATGGAGCGATTTAGAGCCAAATGAGAATAAATAATTTCGCTGAGGCCAAGTTGCAAAGATCACCGTGACTTCAAAATGGATCATAATAAAGAAAGTTAGTATATCTTTTCCTTACCGTCTTTCTTGCAGATATTGACGCCGTTTACTGTTTTAGCGGCGTATCCTGAGGGGCAATGAGAAAAGCAAAAGTCCCGCAGTCGTGTAGCCGACAGTTTGTACATATTACGTTTGCATCTGGAACACTTCAAACTCTTGCGCTTGGGACAAAGGATACAGTTCATCACACGACAAGCTACAATGGAGGTAAGCGAAAAATTCATTCATTAATTCTTGTAACGACTAGTTTTGCTACAGTAAAAACTCGTGAGTTAGAACCTGGTTTTTAAGAAACTGTTTGGCTAAAATTTGCCAGTTACACCCCTTGTATACCAGAACCTGTTTAGCCTAAAATTTGAAACAAAATTTTTATTCTAAAATCTATATATATTCAAAACCCTGTACACTTGGGCAAATAAGATAAATCCGCCAACATTCCTGATTATCTTTGGAGAAATTGGCGCCTTATCACTGACTCAAACTTTAATGTATTGGTATGCAGATTTTATATAAGGAATAAGCTGAATATCACTAAATACTTTTAGCTTCAGCGTATTTTTTCCTTCAGAAAATAAGAACATATTTAATATAAGAACCTATAGTAAGTAGCCTAGGTTTCAGGATTCCACAAGCAAAATTTTTTTGGAGTCTAGATTGCACAAGCAAAAATTTCCCCTTACATGGGGCGATTTTGGAACTGGCACGATTGAATTCTGTAAAAAATAAACAGAAGAAAGTGATTACTTTGGTAATCTATCCATCCGAGAAATTTTGGTCGTGACATCAGCGTACGCCGTCCGTCCGTTCACTCTCTGGGGGGGAGGGAAGAGACTCCGGAGTCAGACGAGCTGGGGAAGGGGTGTGTTATATTTTCTTGGCGGGAAATCGTGCGATGCGTTTGTACAACCCACGTTTTACTGAAAATCGTGAGTCATGTTTAAAACCTTGCAGATTTAAGCTTCCCGGTGATTTTTTATTGTAGCCTCCCTTTCAGCCTCAAGGTTGGTACCGGGATATTTTGTGTGGGAAGAATTTGTTTTCCAAGCCTAATCTACCGTGATCAAAGGCGCATGATTGCTATTTTTTGGGTGCACAAAGAAGACTATTAACTCGACGTGCGATTTGTTACATTCTTGGACTGTTTGCAAATTATATTTTCTCTACAATCACTCAGCCTTTCCCACAAGTCATATGAATGTGCCCTTAAGTTAAATGATTTGTGGATTACAAGTTTATTGTTTGATTTGAATAATACATTTATTAACGGGAGCTTCACTTTTAGCCCTGGCTAAATCTATATATTATCATTTAATGGTACTTACGTTTGTTTAATGGTACTTGTTTCAAACATTTCCCGTTTAATAGTTTGTATCCTCTACGACATCTGCGAATACAGGTGCCTTTGGAAAGCACATAGCCGCGATCACAAACGTAACAAGAACCTCTTACACATTTCTTGCAATTCTTGGTGCATGCTAAGGAAAAATCAGAAAGGAATCTTATTTCAAGGATAAAGGGTAAGAACTGATACATTAAATTACCGTGATGACACTCTAAAATGCTAAAAATCGGAAAACAATTTCAGCAGGAACTGATACCGACTTTAATTTACAGTAGACTCGCACTTCGTAATTTAAGTCCTCCAATACGAGAAAATGGAGAGCTTTTTTCATTCTGAGGTCTAAATGTATGAAATTCATATATTCATCGTTTTGCAAACAGTTATGTTTTATTGGAAATGAGAACAAAAATAATAAGGCTCAAATAACGGCCGAAGTTTAACCCGGTTTCCATAGCATGAAGCGGCGAATAGGAATGCTACCCCCCTGGATGATTTATTCCGCTTTATAACTTCCCCCGGCCATCGCTTATGATCTAATGAAAACCAGATTGTCGGATTTGCCAATGGAAGCAGAATAAACCAATCACAGTGCCCCATCCAAGCCACTGTGTTTGGCTTATTCTTTCGCTTCGGCTTGCGACTGCGCAAGCTACAACAGTTTACACTAGATTGTAAGCGACAGGGTCATACGCAAAACAGAAGACTAGTACTCTCTTTGATTTTATAACTTGAGTACAGTAAAAACCCACGACTAAGAGCCTGGTTTTTAGGAACCTGTTAGGCTCTCTCTATACAAGAAGCTGTTTAGTCTAAAATTTGAAACAGGTTCTTATTTTCTAAATTAAAATCCATATAAAAAATTATGTACAATTAGGCAAAAAGATAAGTTAACATTCAGGATTCTCATAGACGACAAAAAGGCACTTTGTCACTCCAACTGCAATATAATGATACACACATTTTATTCAATGAATAAGCTGAATACCACTAGATGCTCTTAGCTGTAACGCACTTTTTCTTCAGAAATGAAGAACCTATTTAACAACCTAGTAAATAGCCAGGTCAAATTTGTTCTAATTACCATTTATGTATTGTAAGAACCTGTTTAGGCTAACGTGGAAAAATGCAGGTTTTACTGTATCAGGCCTTTCTTAGGGGTTAGGTGTGAGGAGATTGAGATTTGAGGGGGGTTAGGTGGAGAACTGAGAGAGAAAGGAAGGCGTTTCTTCCACTCGCTTTCTCCCCTTTTCGCCTCTCTCTTCGCCCTTTTCGCCTCTCTCTTTGCTGTTTTCGCCTCTCTCTTCGCCCTTTCCCCCCAAATGCCTGATACTCAGGCTACTCTGTTTAAGACTCTGTCGTTTTGATAACGATTCTGACTGCGGCGTAGTTGCAAGTGGAAACTTATTTACGACTTATACGAACCTCTGACACACGTTGTTTTGCTGACTTGCGTGTGTGATAAAGGACAGTTACGTGCACAGGCAAAACCAAGAGGTGCTTCTACGCGCATGAATCCCTCGTTACACTGGTCACATGTTCGTACATTTAAGCACTTAGGCTTCTTGCAATTCCATATGAAGCACCTGTCGACTAACAAAATGAGAGGAGAATGATAAAAATAAAGTCAATAAACACGGATATATTAAGCGAACGTTTCTTTCATCATGACTCGAGAGCTGAGTTAATCTGTCCTCGATGATTTCGTGACTTATTATATGCCCTTTTTTGTCAACTGACTCCCCTTGCGGGAGCCCCTTTATAACAGATCTATAACGGAAACCTCGTTAGTGGGAGTTATAGAAGTACATTACAATCGCACGGAGCTTGGAAAAAAAACAAGAAACACAAAACGACAAAAGAAAAACAATCCCAAATTACGCGCAAGTGAATTTCGTCTCTCTGCTTTCTATGGCGCCCACTGCCGAGTTCGCAGATTTTCCGTTTTGTCTTATAGTCAGTGAGGCGCGCAAAGTACTTTTGAGTGAACATAGGCCTGTAATCTGGCATCCACAGAAGAGCCAAGGGAAAAAAAAGATCTTTTCCGTAGCTGGGGATGGAATGTATTGTAGTCCGGAGGGGGGGGGGGGGGAAGGGTAGGAAAATTCGGCAAGTATTTTTTTAGGTGGCTTGATTTAAGTAGGGATTTTTTTGGGTTATTCAAAACAATCTGAAGATTCGTAGTAATGCCCGCACATTCGGGCCGCGTAGTTCTGCGAATAAAGTACAACCAAGCTTGTTCTACTTTCTTGTACTTTTAAGGCTTGGAAATTCGGCTTGGGATATTTTTAGGGGGGAATTTTTGGCCCAGAGATTTTTTGGGGGTTTTGTCGGAAGCCGTAGGCATTTCTTTTGCATTGGGTTTTGATTTTTGCTCCCATTCGATCATTCCCGTCAATTGAAATCCGGAGTATTCCCGCGCCCTGGGCCACAAAAGAAAAGCGAAGGGAAAGAAATACATTCTTCGTAGGTGGGGTTGGTATGTACGTAGTGTGGTGTAGGATTCGCTCGTAGAAACAAGTCATTAAGCCTCGAGGAAAGGAGAGACGAAGAACTTACCTCTAAGCATTAATTGCTTTCAGCGAACCAGTTGTAGAACCTACATAAAGAATCACGTGCAATTGCGATTCACACTATTTAATCCTGGCTACACCGCCTGAATTTCCCTGAGCGATATTATTTCCTCGCGGGGATGTAAAGACCTGTTAACATTGTCTCATAAAATTCTTCTGAAAGATTTTTTTCGTCGAGCGAGCATCATGATCAAACATGGCGATCGACGGTCAAAACTTTATTACTCGGGGAAAGTTATACTGGCAAAATTGACGTCAGTTCGCTTATGTATATATACGGGTGAAAGCAATTTTTTAAATTAACCTAACGGATTTAATTTTTTTTTTTCGAAAATATTGTTACAAATGTAGTACCACAGGTGGCTGATCGCCAACACTTAAGGGAACAACCGTATTCTGTTCAGTGGCACGTTACTCCTGCCCCCAGCCCTCGGGGCACACGTAAGCGACAAAATTGCATCTGAAAGCCCCCGGGGGTATGCCTGGGAATTCTTCGTGGGGTATGCCGCCCGGTTCTCCAAATCCTGACCCTACTTCAGACTAAAAAGTGTCATTTTCAATAAAATATTTCTTAAAATCTATTTCGAATTCGCGTACTTCTCTTTCTTTCTCAGGGTGGATTTCCACTGTCGAGAAATTTTTAAGTGCGTGTACACGCACGTACATTTTACTCGCCCGACGCGGAAATAAAATAGAGGCAAGAGTGTCGAGCTTAAACGTGAAGTTGAGCGAGGTTCAACTTTTATGTTTACGCGCGACATTTCATACATTGAAAAATTACGCGACAGTGGAAATCCATCCTAACATTTTGGGAATTGAAACGATAAAATGATACGTTCATACAGTCCTGTAATCCCGGGGGGGGTACTCCCTAATATGGGCTATATAGGTATGTGCGGCCCCAAAGGGTAGGGTTTTTCAGCCGTTTTGGTCATAAATTGGGTATCGATTTTTGCACTGTAGTCTTGAATGCACTTTTTTAGAAGAAGCTACTTCCTTATCATGTCCCCCTCCTTCCATCCGCGCTTTGCCTTCCTCTCCACCGGCTGCTTTGTAGGCTAGAAAATACAAGCAACAAAAGCCCTTCACAAAATAGGGTGTCAAATTTTTGGTTAGGTCATAAATATGGTAGGGAAAATCGCAGATTTTGGTCATAAATAGGGTAAGGGTTTTGGGAAGCGGGCCGCACACCCCTACCCAATTTTTCTGCGAGTACCCCCCCGGGCCTGTAGTTCCCTCGAAAACCATACCCGATTCCAGTCCAAAAACCGTTTTCAGACCAAAACGGCGCAAAAACTCTACCCTTGTGATGGCACATACCTACATGGCTTATAAAAGGGAGTAACCACCCCCCCTCCCCCCCCCCCGCCCCGCCGCCGAGCCTAAGCCTGAGAGCAAAGTGAAATAAGAATTGGAGTGATATGGTAAAACAGAAAAGCGGATTAAAGAGAGTCTATTTCTTCATAGCGTAGTAAGTGCAACTCTGAGGGACGATTTATTCAGTCTTCATTCAATCTCGTTACGCACAAAGGCCCGACTAGACTTTCAAAAGGTTCTTTGTCGGATTAAATATGGCGCGGGACGAAGGTCTACCTCTCGCGACTTCGTCACTCGCGGTTGCCGCTTCGCGGCCAAACAAGGCTCGCTCCGCTCGGCAAGAGGTCGACTCGTAGCAAGTCTAAGGCCCGACACATTTTAGAAGGAACGTTTGTTGGTCGGGAGTGACTTGGAAAAGACTCTAAGATTCTGCTTAGAAAGAGTATTTAAGAAAGTATTTACCCTATCGGTAAAAAGACGACAAGATTGATCATTATTACAGACTTACCTTTTGTTTTTTTGAGTCCATGTTTACCTCCTCTCTGCGGTTTACGTCGTCTACAGTCAACAGAAAGAACAAGACCCAGTAAAACAGCTAACAACAAAATCTTCATTGTTGCTGACTACAGTATGTTTAGGCTGCTTCGCGATGTTTTTGTCTGAAGGTATAAATCTTGTTATGACGCAGTTAAGTTGAAAACCCGACAGCGAGCTGTAAGGATGTTGGGGATGATATCTGACTCCGGAAGTGCTTCTCTTGTTACGAAAGAGAAAGAATAGTGCGTGAACTGGCTAGCCTTCTGTTACTTACTCGCTTACCGCTGCTGCGCGCGTTGCGGAAAAGTACATTCTCAACGTCAAAGAAGCATTTTTAAATAGTGAAAAAAACAACCACTCTCTTTGGTACATTGCTTTGCCGTCACAGTGCGAATCACAACACGAAGTTTCCTGAAAAGACGTTTTACGGACCCAGGTTTATGGAGACCGTGAGCTTTCTGGACTTGGATGCGGTACTAGGGCAGCAGTTCTAAAGACCGGGGGGGGGGGGGAGGGGGTAACCCCCTTATTTAAGCTTCCTAGGTATGTTCCGCCTCATCGGGTAGGGTTTTTGTGCCCTTTTGGTCTGAAATCGGGTATGGTTTTTGAGGGAACTACGAGGGTATAACGTGTTTATCGTTTCAATTCCAAATGAAAAGAAAGAAAGAGAAATATGCGAATTCAAAATGGATTTGAAGAATTTTTTTGTTTGCGCTCTAATATAAGTACAGATAATAACATAATTTGTGCCTAAAGGCCAGGTTTGAAAACGGGTATGGATTTTAGAGGTCTAGTCTGATAACCCACCTCGGGGGGGAGGGGGGGGGAATGGGGAGGGATGGCTGATTGACCACTCTAGAAAATACCGTAACATTCCATAATGCTCTTTGTTTGTCACCCCAAAATTTTGCATAAGCATTGTCTTCAGTTTCTCTTGGGAGTTAAAATGGCCCCAAGAGAAACTGAAAACAATGCTTATGCAAAATTTTGGACTGACAAACAAAGAGCATTATGGTATGTTATGGTATTTTCTGGAGTGGTCAATGGCAATGTTCCATTGGATGGAGTCGCATTTTCACGACTGGATTGACTATTAAGGGGTTGCATTTTCAGTAAAGCTACTAGAACAAACAACAACTCAAACCGGACTCCGTTTGTCATCACGTATAATCCAGCTCTTCCTATTTCCATCACTGCCCGAAAAAATATAAATATTCTTCAATCATCCAGTCGCTGCAGACAAATATTTCCGTCTCCACCCATGGTTGCTTTTAAAAGGAGTACCAACCTTCGTGGCCTACTTGTTAGAAGCACTTCACGTGATTGTAACATACAACTCGAAAAACCATCCCTCGGCGTTTCAAAATGCAATCATCCACGCTGCCTTACCTGTCCGTTTTTACAGCAAGGCCTAGCCAACTACACTTCACCTCCACCAAAGAGAAACGACTTATATGTGACCCCTTAAACTGTAAATCCAAAAACCTTATCTACCTCGTTGGATGCAAAAAAATGTAACAAACAGTACATTCAGATGTACATTGGGGAGACCAAGCGCCCTCTCCACGAACGCTTTGGGGGGCATCCCCGCTCCATCGGCTATGGCCATAGGATAATTTTCACATAGCACTATTTCTTCCCTGGATTTAACAACAAAACGAAATGATAGTTGTTGGCATTTTTGTAGGCTTCAGTTAGCTAGTTGTCTCGTCCTAATATGGCAGTTGTTGAGGGAATTTTGAAATGCCTTATTTTATATATAAAGCCACGTGTTAGAAATCATCAAATCTTTTCGGTTTCTAATCCAATTTCTTTGGTTGAAATTATTGGAAATTAGAAATCTATTTCAAACAAAAGAAGATTTAAGTTGAAGGTACAAAACGAGGGAATACACTTTACTCTAGCCCCTAACGAGTTCAGCCCTTAGAAGCTTTGCATAAAAGGTTAAATTTGCGCCCCTATTTCACTTCCTAAATTGAAATGGTAAGTAAATTTTTATTAGTCTGTTCCAGGCGTTCCAATATTGGTCAGCATTACCCAGTTGCTGTTTTTCCTGCTCACTTCTCTTCGCACCTTCCCCCAATCTGACCGCCTAAAGCAGGCTAAATGAATAGAAAAAGACGAAAAATAAGAGAAAAAACCCCGTTAGACTGGACTAGGCTCTTGGTTGCCTTAAATTGTAACCCAAGAAACAGAAATACGGCTCCATTCAAATAAATTGATCAACACGAACTCAGAACTCAACGGACACCTTTCAACGAACTCCTTTCAACGGACACCAAAGGGACAGAACAAAGTGTCCGCTTTACAGAGGTGTCCGTATTATAGAGGTAGGGAATGTATGATTTTTGGCATTTCTGGGACCAAACGAACTGTCCGTAATAGAGAGGTGTCCGTAAGGAGAGGCTAGACTGTAATTCCGTGTCGAGCTTAAAATTTTAATAGGCCACCAGGCCACATAACTTGTCAGTTCGGACAAATTATCTGCAGGTGTATCGGAACGAAAAGAATTCCATTCTGCGTCAACGTAAACGGGCCTTTCAACAGTAAGCCAAGATCACGAGACTTTGAAACCGGAGAGTTCATTGAATTTGAGCCTCTTTACATCGACAGAAATTTCTCTGCTATAATTGCTGAGTTCTGGAAGAGAGATTCCACCCAGCCCGGGGATTCACGCGCTTAATGTTTCAAGAGTTTTTTAATAATTATTACACTCTGACAAAGTTTTCCAATTATCATAATTACAGTTGGCGGGAAAGATCAAAATTTAGCTCAAATCAGTCAAATGTTTGTTTGATTCTGTTTAACTTGAAGTCGGAAGTACAAGATTTATATACGGTAAAGGTGTTCCCAATGTAATCCTTGATGAACGAAACTGATGAAAGTTTAGAAATCGTTACGACCGATCGTTAGCAGCTGTCGAGTGCTGAATCAGGATTCCTTTCATCCAGAAAGAACTGTATTGTGAAATGAGAGAACCGAAGCGTAGTAAAATGTTCTATAATTAGCACGCAATTAACAAAATTGCTAAAATATGTTAACGAACAATCAGTTGTTGATCGATCTTGCAGAGGCTACATCTCCGATTAGGTAAGTGCTGTTTTTAACAAACACTTCTTTCAAGTGAACTGCTGACTACGTATAGAGTCATCGTATTTTAAATAAGACTACCGTTTTACCTCGTCGGCGCTCAGTTCAGGCTTTCTCGGTTTTCCTTCCCTTCATAGCGGTTTGACGCTTCCCTGTTCATTGATGAGACTATGATGAGCTATACGCGCCAAGAATTTGGATTTTCTTTGCTTTGAATTTTAGCGAAAGCATAACAGAAAGAAGGATAAATGAGGCACAAATACTACCATGTAGTACTTTGGGTTGGAAGTTAATTCGGTTGTATAAAAATGTACTTTCTCAAACGTATCCCGAGATATGTACCTCCCGGCTCAAAAAAAGTTTCACTTGAGTAGTACATATGGCTACAGTATGGTCCTAACCAATCAGAGCGCAGCAAATTTGGTCTCGACCAATCAGAATCGCGCATTTGGCCCATGTGACTTATTGACGTCACAACCCATTGTTTTTACCCACGTGACCTCCATGGAATAAAGAACACGCACACACAAGAGTTGAATCTCACATTCTTGACATAGTTTTAATAAACCGCGTGAAACCCTGGGTACAAGCGGGACGTGTGTGACGCCCTACTGACGTCACGCCCATTACAAATCTAATAGAAGATCAAGTTCATCCCCAATCCTGTCGTAGCCATAGGGATAACTGGATCGAGTGGCGACCTCGATGACGCGTTTGTCAAACACCAACCCATACTGCTTCACGCGCGGAACCACTTGAATTTGTTTTTCCTCTAAATCTCGTTGGAAATAATAAGGGTTGGTGATGTTCAAATTGCGTCGAGAGTCCTGAGGCGAGTCTAGTTCGGAAACAATGTTCTCTTTCATGGTGTGAAAATTGAGAATGGCGGATCCACGGACGTTTAAGGTGAAACCGCGTACCTTGCACACCACTTTGCCACTACGGGTCTGGTACCCATAATTCTTGGCGCCCCCCGAAACAAACTCGGTGATGACGTCTCCGTCTAATTCGTCGGTCATGTCCCCCAGAAAATCTCCGGTGGCAATGCTGGGTTGACCGGGACGCCACTTGTACACGACGCTGTCTGTATCATAATAGAGGACTTGCTGTTGAAGGGTATCCAGGGACTCGTAGAGCTTCAATCGAGCATGACAGGTGGTGAAAGCGGCTACGAAAATATTGGTCTTGGTGCCTTTGACGGCATTGTCGTGGACACTGGTATAAACGGCTTCCAAAATGTCGTCTGTGCAAAGGCGGAGCGTGCTGAGATCGAGGGAAGCATCGGAGATGAGACCGAACAAATGGGCGGGGTCTTTGACAGTGACGGTGGTGGGTTTGTTGATCCGCTCCCCGAATTTGCCCCAGAAACTGTTTAGCATGAGTTTGGCCGTGGCTTTCCGACCGGGGTTCTTGACAATACTGGCAATGTCCAGTCGGATGCCTTCCCGTTCCTGGTAACGAAGAATGTAGTTGCGTTTTTGCTCGAGGGTCTGACACCAGCCGGGCCACCCTGCCGATTCTTGTTTCAACTTGAGCCACGTGTTCACGTAATCAGCGAAAAGACCCGTTTGGCGTTGCTCGGGAGGAAAATGCCAGACTTCGTGAATCTTGATCAGCGTATACCCCTTTTCGACGGCTTTGACCAATTCGGGTGTACACCAGGTGCCACGTAACGTGCGATCCGCATCGGAATGAGGGCAATAGCGGGTTCGGGTCAACATGGGTTGGGCCTGCTCTGACTGAACACAGGCGCGGCAGAGAGGAAACGTGAGCTTGTGGCCGCTACGCACGGGTAAGACGGGGTGGAACAAACCAGCGGGAGGAAGAATGTCGACAGTAGCTAGACCAAAATAAGAATCCAGGGACTGGTCGGCGGGTTGCGTGATGATCTGCGGATGCCCGATGGGATAGGGACAGTTCTTATTCACCCACGGGTACAGGGAGGTCACATCCACATAGCGTATTTCCTCACCTTCTCCAGCCACAGCATGCAGAGCCACGGCACCGGTGCGACCCCCAAAGAAGGCTTGACGGGGTTCCAGGGGTGCCACCAGATCAAAGGAATTCAGAAAACATTGGACGGCTTCATCGGTGTCCACTAATTTGTCCCATTCACATTCCCACATTTCAATGACT